ACTAATAAAAACTAAACTAAAACTAAGCATTAAAAATGTAATAATAACTAATAAAAACTAGCAAATCCACTGTAAAAACTAAAACTAAAAAAACACTGAATTAAAAGAAAAAAAGTCACAACAAAATAAAACTAAACTATAACGAAAAATCCAGAACTATTATAATCTTGACCATGAGAAACATGTCAGAGGACTCTGATCCTGATGTGTCACATTAAAGAAGATTTATTCAGATAAAACAAACAGGATCCTTGGTTCTTATTTAAACACGTACCGTGAATATGAGTGAGGGGAGGGGGGTCAGCAGGGTGGGGTGGATCATGGACAGCAGGCTGGGCAGGTGACCCTCCCGGGACCCCACAAAGAATAACCTGAGAGACGAGACCTTCAGGTCACTTCCTGCTCTTTATTCTTTATGTATTTCTACAGGTGAGCAGTGTTACCTGGACGAGGTGAACAGAGAGCCGTTCACTGAGCCGAAGCACGACAGACCCACAAACACGGAGATGATCCAAGACATGGGGCCCAGGTGGTGGTTCCCAAAGTCCTGCAGGACACACGGGTTTAGTCTGAGCTGCCTTTTCTCAAGCGTTTCTCCAAAACCTGCCCTTTATTTGGTTTATAACTTTTATTTGAAATAAAAACAAATAAGGTACAGAACAAAAAGTTTAAATAGAAAATTAAAAAATAGTCTTCAGAGCTGAAGATCTAAAACCTAAACAAGCTACAAGAACATAAAATGACTGTTTTAAAGTATTTATAACAAGTCAAAAGGTCTCTTTGACTTTCTCTGCAGAGTTAAAAAAAAGCTTTGAGGTTTGTGCCTCACCACAGCTACAGCCTCTGAGTGCAGCATCTGTTCAGGAGACAGCGTGGTGAAATACGCCAGGTTGGTCAGAACGTACACGGCTGTCACTATGGGCAGAGAGATGATGATGGCCCGCGGGAGGTTCCTGAGGAGGAAAAACATGTCACATCTTAGACGCTCTGACATCATGTCACATCTGACACGATCTGACATTATGTCACATCTGAGACGCACTGACCCCATGTCACATCTGACACACTACGACATCATGTCACATCTGACACACTACGACATCATGTCACATCTGACACGATCCGACATCATGTCACATCTGACACACTACGACATCATGTCACATCTGACACACTACGACATCATGTCACATCTGACACGATCCGACATCATGTCACATC